TTTTTTTTTGAGACGGAGTTTCGCTCTTGTTACCCAGGCTGGAGTGCAATGGCGCGATCTCGGCTCACCGCAACCTCCGCCTCCTGGGTTCAGGCAATTCTCCTGCCCCAGCCTCCTGAGTCGCTGGGATTACAGGCACGCACCACCATGCCCAGCTAATTTTTTGTATTTTTAGTAGAGATGGGGTTTCACCATGTTGACCAGGATGGTCTCGATCTCTTGACCTCGTGATCCACCCGCCTCGGCCTCCCACAGTGCTGGGATTACAGGCTTGAGCCACCGCGCCCGGCCCCTGCTGCTCTTTAATTGCAAAGCAACAGGCTGGTCCTGTCCACATCTTGCCCAGGACTATGGCAGCCGCTGAGACCCATGTAGGATCAACGGCCATTTTGCTGTATTCCCGTCCCCAGGAAGCTAAAGGGCTGGTGGCAGAAGTTCCGGCTTCGCTCCAAGAGGAAGGCGGGAGCTTCTGCAGGGGCTGGCCAGGAGCCCTGGGAGGCCGACTACGAACTTGTGCCCTGTGAGGGTCTGTTCGATGAGTACCTCGAAATGGGTAGGACCCCGTTAGCAGCTGCAGGGGGAGGGACGGGCAGCCACTTGTTCAGGGGTCTTCCAGTCTGACTACAGCTGCCCTGAAATGTGGGGTGGGGTGGGGTGGGGACAGAAGATTGGGTCTGAGAGAATCCAGAAAGGTATTCTTTTCCCCCGAGAGTGCTCGGGAGGGTTGGCTGAGGACTGGGGGGGGGGGGGGCTCCGGCACAAGGAGGAGGCCCCAGGGCAGTTGCAGAGTTCCCCTGGGCCAGAGCAAGGGAAGAATTATGAGAGCAGGCCCCGAGGGCTGACAGAGGCTCTCCCAGGGTGAGGCCGCACTGGGAGGCAGCGGCCTGGAGAGAGAGGTCCCCAGAAGTGCCCTCCATGCCCAGCTGTCTGCTGGACCCACACCGGTCACCTTGCCAGGTGGCGGCTGGTGCCAGCAGCTCACTGCCTGCACGGGTGGTGCCCTCAGGAGGTGGGTCTGCATCACCTGTGCTGTCCCTGCAGTGCAGGGTCTGACTCTGAGCTGACAGGAGGGAGAAGGAACCAGGCAGCTGTCTTCTGTTTTGTTTTTTCGAAATGGAGTCTCGCTCTGTCGCCCAGGCTGGACAGTGGCGAGATCTCGGCTCACTGCAACCTCCGCCTCCTGGGTTCAAGCGATTCTCCTGCCTCAGCCTCCTGAGTAGCTGGGACTTCAGATGCGCACCACCACGCCTGGCTAGTTTTTGTATTTTTAGTAGAGACGGGGTTTCACCATGTTGGCCAGGCTGGTCTCGAACTCGTGACCTCAGGTGATCCACCCACTCAGCCTCCCAAAGTGCTGGGATTACAGGCGTGAGCCACCGCGCCTGGCAGACAGCTCTTAACCTAGCAGGCGGGCACGTGAGCCGGCAGGCCCCGGAGCTCCGCAGGGCAGCCGCGGCATCCGTGCAAAGGGGCCAGGCCAGTTCCTAGGGTGAGGAGTGGACGCCCTGAGCCCCTGTACCCGGGACCCCGACGATCTCATTAGTGATTCTCACAGAAGACCCGGAACCGCTTCCAAAGAGCCGTTTCCTAACCGCTCCCCTGAGGAGTGAGCGGAGAAGCCGCTCCCACCCCCGCCCTGAGTTAGTCCCCGAGTTCACCGAGCCCAGGAAGGGCCGGGACCGGCCGGAAACGGGAGCGCAGGGCAGGACGGCGGCCCGGGTCTGGTCGGGGGAGGCGGCACCACGGGGCCGGGCCGGTCCTCCGCGGGGCGCGCGTTCCCCGCGCTGGGGGCGGACCGTGGCGGGAGCCGGCCGTGCCCCCCCGCAGTGCTGCAGTTCGGCTTCGTCACCATCTTCGTGGCCGCCTGTCCGCTCGCGCCGCTCTTCGCGCTGCTCAACAACTGGGTGGAGATCCGCCTGGACGCGCGCAAGTTCGTCTGCGAGTACCGGCGCCCGGTGGCCGAGCGCGCCCAGGACATCGGCATCTGGTTCCACGTCCTGGCGGGCATCACGCACCTGGCGGTCACCAGCAACGTGAGGGCCCGGCGGGGGCAGGAGAGGGCGCGCGGGGAGGGGGCGGGAGGGGGCGGGAGGGGG